ATCTTCGCTTCGACTGTTTCTGTCTACTGTTCTTGCAACACGTCACTATATTCAAATTTAATACTATCACAAATAACGTTGAACCAGTTGACTCAAGAGAAGACAAGCCAACAGTGAATAATAATCCATTGGACGGAAGGGATGAGAAATGTACAAGGAATAATCAACGTCAACGTATTGATCAGAATGTTAATGAATGAAAACATTCTTCTGATAATGTTACGTGGGTAGACGTGCTTCTTTCGGATGGACACTACGGTAGTCATGGACAAAGAAGACTACATCAAGAAAGCAGAGGACTTACTCAACGAAGAGAATGCATATCAACAACTTGAAACAAACCATTTACAAAAGTTCAACAACAAGATCAATAAAACCTTGAACAAACTCTTCAAAACAGAAGAAATAACAAAGCAAAACAAATCGAGAATAAAATCAAATGAACCTGTCCTTCCTCACTTCTACCACAACAGACCAAAAACTACACAAACCAGACATCACTCTACAACCAACAATCTCTCTCCCACAAACTCCAACATACAACATATCAAGAGAAGTTTCGACAAAACTGAAACATCTCGTTCAATCTTGTGGACATTCCATCAAATCACCAATGCAATTCTTAGGAAAGATCAAAAGCAATAACATGCAAAACGACGAATTATTGGTATCCTTCGATGTCACACCACTCACTATACACATCCATCAAGCCACAATTGATCAAGGAAACTATATGCCTCCTACTCAATGAACACACATACCTTTCAGAACACACAAACCTTAAATGTTCAAATCTGATGCCACTCATACACCTTTGTCTGACAACATACTTCCAATTCAATGGCAAGATATACAAACAGATGAAAGGAAGTTGAATGGTGTCACCGATATTCAGACTAATTGGAGAAGCAGTGATGCAGAGACTGGAAACCATCATTCTACCTGTGATCAAATCAAAATTCTGGATTCGCTATGTGGACGACAGTTTCGTCATCATTGAAAAAGATGATACAGAAAATACTGACAGTTTAATCAACATGGAATTCGTAATGAAGAAGGAGTCAAATAACCAACTGCCAGTCCTGGATGGTCTAGCCAGTAGGATAAATGTCGGAAAGCTGGAAACACAAGTGTACAGGAAGCCAACACTCACTAATCAGATGCTCAACTACAGTACCAATAAACCAACAACGCATATGATCAGTTGCATTCAAACTCTATTCAAACGAGTGAGAGCACAGAATGAATATATCAGAAATCATGACAAGATTACTGAGACGACTTGGTGGAATTGGTGGTTAGGTGGATTGCCAGTTAGGTGGCTCATAAACCAACAAATTCCCTCCAAACACTATCATCCACACCAAAGCATGCAACAATCAAACAAGACAAATCCAATATCATTTACAAAGCCAACTGCAATAACTGTAGTCAATAGTAGATTGGACAGAGTGGTTGCCCTCTTCACCCTCATCTATGTGAACACCAACTGTCTATTAAACGTCACACACAACATTTCATCACTCATTTCAATGCACGTGGATAACAACTAAGGAGATGAATTCAACAATTTCGACAATGTCGAAATGTTGGATGTAGAGAGGCAAGACAAAGGATATCAGAGGATTCCTAGAAGCTTTGCATTCACGTCAGTCAGTCAGTCAGTCAGGCAGTCAGTGAGTCAGCAATCAATAGATGTATAGACAGACATAGACGCAATCAATGAACCGATGAGAAAAGTGATAAAGGATAGAAAGGTGAGAGTTGAAGGAGAGGAACAGCTAGCTAACAGGAAAATGTATGGAGTCAGTCAATGACACAACAGTCGAAGTGAAGAAGCAATGAGGATGCAGTTAATGAGAGCAAGGTACTGAATCACTGATGGAGATATGTTGACAGTTCACTTCATCCTGAAGGTAGTGTTGATGATGTCGTCTTTTAAGACGATGAAGGCTCCATGGGTAAACAACTCAACTCTTAGGACTTAATGCAACCAAGATATGTGATCTTTTCACATTAGTGGCACTACTTTCACCTAGTAACTTTTTAAAAAGTCAATGCGTGTTAATTTGGTTGCTTTTGCTCAAGGAAATCTCGAAAAAAATTATATCGAAACGTATCTCGGAGCACTATCCTGCATGGTTGTCGAAGGGAGAATGTAAATCAATTAACAGTTCAATTCCTGAACATTTGATCAAATCTGGATATAAACCTAGACCAGAATCTTTCTTCAATGTCGTTTACCGTGTCAGATGGAATAGATCAAAGGAGTACGCCTTCGATAGTTGTGCACAGTGGAAGCACTGGTAATTCGTCAATTCAAGCTTGATCTTTGCGTGAAAAAGAAGTATGTTCAATCTCTCATCTTACCATGCATGGTCTTAACACTTTTTTTCGACTTCAGTATAATTAATTAGTTTATTATTATCACCTTCATTATGACCCTTGTCTCATTCTTCACCTTCTTTATATCTACCTATCAAGTGGACACTCAATATTTGCGTTTCTTATCTACCAACAATTTTCACCTTCCTCGTTGTTTCTACTGTCTTAGTTTATGAAGCAACTACTTTGCATTCTTGATTCCGGTTTTTTAGCATTAGGTTAATGATGTAATTATACCCTATTGTTTTATAATAGACTGTTATATGTTTATGATATATATAAATACGATTGTACAGCTTTAGAAAATGATATCGTTGAAAAAGAAAATTTTCTTCGCTAAATTATCTCTTCTCTATGACTCAGTGGGCATGTTTTGCAGTTGGGAATGTTATCACTGAGATATTCGACGTAACTGGCTTCACAGCAGGAGTCGAACTAATAAACACAACAGGAAGTAATCAGTCTAGGGAATTCATCTTTTACTCTTTGTGTCACTAACAGGTATTTGGAAAACAAAATTTGTAATTTACCAGAATTAAAGGTTAATTAAATTGATCTGCGTAGTATCTCACTGAGCATGTCACCTCTAAATTGTACCTATATGTATGGTGGTTTCGTATTAGCCGTTGGAATATCTTTTCTTGCCATTTTGTAATCATGTGTTTCTAAATAAATATGTCCATTTTCGATTAATGTGTCACGCAAGTTGTCAATTCCTCCTCAACTGTATCTTTCGATCTTATAGCTTTCACGAAGGATATATAATGCTTTGAAATTCAGCAGCACTCACGTACCGAAACTGTATGGTTTGCCTAAGATACAAAAGCCAGGAGTGCCCTTAAGACTTATTCTTGGTATGCAAAATTCTCCTTACCATGCTCTAGAGAAATCGCTCATCGACACTCTCCAACCTTTACACAAACGACTAGTAGAACATAGGCTAAAAGATTTACCTGAATCTATAGACAGAACTAAGGATGCTAACATCGTGAATAAAACTGTGATATCACTGGATGTAACAAGTCTATCCACTAATGTTCCTATTCTTGAGACAGTCAGTCGGAAGAAAAGTCTATCAATGTAGGAATCCCGATAGATGTCTTCAAAGAATTATTGCTCAAATGTACGATGAAAGTTACTTTTAAATTTAACGGTGAACTATGCAGACCAGTGAATGAAGTCACAATGGGCTCACCACTGAGTCCCATATTAGAGGACCCTTTTCTATTGAAGCTATAGAACGGTTTACTTGAACGATTTATCACAGAATTTTCATTTTACTGTCTATATATGGATGATGCATTCATGCTGTGTGAAACTAACATTGACAGGTCAAAGATACTTATCAGATTCAACACGGCACACCCAGTGATGAAGTTTACGTGTTAGAAAGAGTCAAAAGACAAGATGGCTTATTTCGATGTTTTTCTCTCAAGATGAAAAGATTGGTCGACAAAGAGGATTTTGTTTAAGAAGAGTACATGAACGGCCCAAAAACACATTTTCCCTTGTGCAGCGAGTATCAGTTGTTATTTTTGTTACGGACACCTTACTAACGAGTGCCAGTAAACCTTACCTTGCGTAAGTAACTATTTTCTGCATCATTGATAAGAAGACAATGACTGATATTTTTAATCTAATGAATTAATAATCTTTAGTGAAGTGATTTTCAAATCTAGCAGGAATCCATAGCCTTTCGGGAAATGGATAGGTTAGTCAACGGAATTTAGAAGGAATAGATTCAGTCTTTCCTTTCTGATCCCGAAGATCCACAGTAAAAATGCTTGAATGCTACGCTGAATGGTTACTAGAGAGTTGTCTATTACTGAATGCTGAGCTAATTCTGTTAATCATTTCCCATTCCGGCCACCAAATTAAGAGATCTGCCATCTTGGTGCACTTTACTTTATGTTAGATGGTTGAAAGATGACCACCAGGAAGCTTTTGTTGACTTAGGTTACCTTCTTGTTGTCAGGCGTCAATAAGGTGTATCTACAGCCTTAAGGGGACTGATGTCTTCTTTGAAATTAAAACTCACGCCACCTGGTACTGAATTCAGAGATCTTAATAATGAGCTATTCGGGTGGCGACTGACCTCCTGTAAGACTGAATTAGGTACATTGACTGGTCAACAAAATAGGTTGGTGGTAGAACCTCTGACTGTCTGTTTGTCAGTGTGACCAAGCTTCGAATCTCTGAGGGGACATCAGTCCCCCTAAGGTTGCAAATACACTTTATTGATAAGTGCCGGCATACATGAAACCTAGGTGCAGGAATTCCTGCTTATTGACTCCATCTGACTACCATAGTTGTATATTCCTTGAAGACACTGACGACTGAAATTGCTGCAGACCTGAACAAAACAGTTATACAACAATCTTTAATGTTAAACATTTATTCGTCAAATAATACCGTTTAAATGAAGATGATTCAAATTTACGGAATTTTTCATTTCATCATCTTTAAATCTGTTAATTTATTCATTCGAAAGCGTCATATTTCAACCATTAATGCGATCCCATACGAAATATTATGCAGTTTGTCACCATTATTCAAAAAGTAGCATAACTATGAATGAGTAAAAACCTTCAACAGATTATTGTTTTTCTTCTCACCTATATATTCATCTTCATCGATAATCGCACTCGGGCTGCATTATATTGGTCATTGTATTTCATTGGTAGGTGTGACTCAATTTCCAAAAGATTATCGATTAATACTTGTACTGAATCCGATGATAATAGTGATGATATTTCTAGAGGCTGTACTACTGAGGTTGCTGATGCCTGAGATGAATTCAGTAGTGATGATAAGGGATTAGATGTGAATCCAGGTGAATCCAAGAATTGTGGAAGTTGTTTTTGAAAATTTAAGGTAAAATAACATAAACATTCTAGCAAACACTCAATTAGAACGTGTAATTCACAAATGAATATTTCCATATTCATATTAGAGTTCGAATTACTGTTATCCTGGTCTGCTGTACCACCATTCTCAGACCTTATCAGCCTTGGCATTTCAGATCTGCTTGACTGACAGGCTTCACTCACAAATTTTGATATCTGTCAAGGTAAAACATGAGAGTAAACAAATAGATTCTAGACACTGGCAGTAGTAGGGATTAGTGGAACATTGGATTCTGAAGTAGTGGCTGAATAATAATGAGCTCACCATCAGACCTAACTGTCCTGAATCCGACCACTCATGGTGTCTTGCCTGTTTACACCTCAGGAATTTCGTGCTAAAATGAAACAGCTATCGTGTGTTCACAGGCTCTTAATGGCTCTCCAACTATTGTACACTATCACAAGTCAGTAAATCACTACAAAGCAATAAAAATATCATATTGTGTTGTGGTTCGAAAAAGTTTTCTGTGGCAAATCACCACCAATCGAGTAAGATATTTATGATGGTGATTCTTTTGCATCTCAACAATCTTGCTAAGATCGGTAATCCAACCTAAATGTCTCCGAGCGATACGAACTAAACGCGCAAACCAATCGAATCTAAACACTAATCAGAGTGTCAACCACAGCAACAATAATACCACCGACACGGGAAGACAAGAGGAGAAGACGTGTGGTTGATAGAAAGCTTGTACTGTTTTCACAACAGTCAAAACAGTTCAGAATGATTATTATTTATTATAAGTGGTACACGCGATGCTTAATAGACAATCAGATATCATAGCGACGCCATATGTGGCGTAAGTTGTGGCCTAGTAGTATTACTGACAGTTTCCAACTGCGGAAAAATTAATATCACCACGAAAGAAGCAAAGCATCAAGATGAAAGTGAAATCAAAAAATATTCAACCGGAAGTCGTAGTAAAACACAAAAAGAGAGAAAAACAGGATAAAACATACAACGAAATGCGATATGATGATTAGGATTGATATAATGAGTACATGCAAGTATACCACTGAGATCGATTCTGGCTTATATTACACAAGGTCTCCAGCCAATGTCTTGTGTTGTCACATAGACTCCAATCTTAAGGTTTGGTTCCTGCTAAAAGCCTCATACTGGTGGTTAGAAATTTCATGCATTGATGTAACGTCCTACCTTCACCTTCTTTAACTTTTACTCTTCTGAACACACTTAAGCTGACATTGTGCTTCAGAGGGGATGCTGACTAGGCATGTGTAACAGATATCCTAATAATCTAATTTGAGGAAGGCTCACAACCTAAATTTGGATGTCTAGTCTTCATATCGTTTCGTGACACATAAACAGTCAGACAAAGCCAACGTTTATGGGACACCTGAGGCTTCCTCAGCTCCTCTACATTTAGTTGCCGTGTTTCACAGTCACAGAGTGAGGCAAAGTGAACTGAAATGCAGTAAACTGGACACTAAGTAAACAGTTATACTTATCAATAACATGAAAAATGAGCTTGAACTAGGCAGTTAAATGTTGTTGTTTGTTTTGTTCCATTATTAATATTTGTCCCTTGGGTTCCTAGTGGAACATACGGCTTCAGTAGCACACCTCCATTCCACTCTCTTCTCTACAGTCTTCAAAACATGGCGCCACGACTGAACACAAGCTCCCATTTCTTACTCACACAGTCTACTCCATGTCACCCTCAGCTTGGATGCCCAACTCGTCGTTTCCCCTTTGGATTCCACTCGACGGCATGGCCTGGCACATGATGTCACCAATCGGTCTTCTCAGTGTATCCCCTATCCATCTCCACTTCCTTATGCATATTTGTTGAGTGATAGGTTCTTGCTGGGTTGGTTGCACGGTCACAGTTCCTTGTTCTTTGTTGCTTATTCTTATTATTCTAGCCATCTGATCTTCGGTATCGAGTGAATGTAGGTGGCAGTTGTTGATGAATGTCTGTAGTTTGTTGGAAGTGGATTTCGTGACAAGCCAACTTTGTGAACCATCACATAGAAGCACTGACTGACTTGACTGAATTAGTGTTGAAAATCCGGATGTTGTTCACGCTTTGTGCTGAGTGGAGTAGATCTATCTGCACACTGATTTCAGATAAATGAATGCCTGTCTTGCTGTCTTCCCAATCCTGACTTTGACATCCTCATCTGTGTCAGTGCCACCTGTAGTTGAGACGATGCTGTCTGGGTGGGTGTAGGTGAAGGAGACAACTTCCTTCAGGTTTCTCCCGTTCATGGTGATCAGTGCTTGTTGTTGTTGTTGTTGTTATTGTTGTTTGAGTATCTTCATCACCTCCGTCTCCTCTACATTCACTTTGTGTCCCGTCTTCCCTGTTTTACCCTGCCCTGCCTCTTCTGTCAACTTGTTAGGTTTTCGCCCGTAGATCTTCGAGTTAGTGAGACAGAACATTAAACATAAATCATCATTGGCGAAATCCAAATCTTCTTCTTGGCTTTTTTCCCCGCTCCAGAGTATGCTCACCTTCTCACAGCTCCTCACAGTTGTCTACTGCATCATCCAGTCCACCACAATCAGGAAGATGATCGGTGATATTCGGCAGCCTGGTCTTACGTTCAGAACGATGCTGAATATATACATTTCTAAATGACCTTGACAACACGAAATGCATATTTAGGTTAAAAGAGTTTAAAACCAATAAGATCGTAGCCTTCAAACCAGTAGGAAAACAAATGCTAGCAACTTTGACTAAACTATTACTGAACATTTTTTTCTCCTGTCACCAGAATCATGACCTAACTGAGGCAAGAGTGAACACATAAACTATTTTACTAGTGGGCTACAAAAGTTAGAGACAAAAAATCAATCAACTCAAAATTACCTGTGAAATTTTATACACCAATGGTACTTCATTTATACTCTTTGAGTAATTTAAAATATTCTCATAAAAAATTAATCTCAATTTTTTATTTCCATCTTCAACACTGGAAAGTAATGATTTCAAATGTTCAGTCAATTGTTTACAGAATTGACTAATCTCATGAATCACCTGAACTAAACGACTAAGACGATAACAGAGTGTTCGCTCCACTAGTGTAGGCGGTTTACGACTCAATTCAATCTGTAATACAACAAAAATTAGATTAATTTGAAGATGTACTATTCAATTACAAGGTGACATCAACTAGGTAGCTAGCTATTGGACAGTCAATTATTACCAGCATAGACGCGGTATGATGATTGACTATTTCAATGAATAGATAATTTAAACGACTCAACGGGCATGTTTCGTAGTATAATTTAAATGCTTCACTACTGAAATACTACAATACAAATAATTATACGGGGATTTTAGGAGGACTGACTTGTATTAGAGTAGTCATCAATCCAAACGGCATCAGCTGGAATAATAACAACGAAAATTTGGAAGGACTAGAAAACTGTCTCATCCTATTGTGCAATCTATGAGCAGTGCACACTGATAGATCACATTGGGCGATGATTGCTGTATGTCGTGAAGTTGACCATCATATTTCAGCCCAATAACTTAATGCCAACATGTTCTCCGCAACATCTGAGGGTCCTAGACTCTCCATACAGGAGTAAACCTTCAACACTGTGGTAGATTGCAATTGCATTTTAGTCTGCTTATTAGAAATGTCACACAGTGAAACAGTATCATTTACAGGAAAACGTTTCGGACATAGTTCACAGTCCACATTCTTCTCAAGTAACTCCACTACTTTGACAAACATGAAGTTAGACACATCAGGAGCACCTTGCGTCTCATGAATTACCCATCAAAATTTCTGAATAAATTCATAAGAAATCGAAAGAAAATTAGTAGTAGTAGTAGTAGTAGTGTGAGTAGTAGTGTGAGTAGTAGTAGTAGTAGTAGTAGTAGTAGTAGTAGTAGTAGTAGTAGTAGTAGTAGTAGTAGTAGTAGTAGTAGTAATAGTAGTAGTAGTAGTAGTAACACAGGTGTGTTATTAGTAACAATTCCACCAATCATAGTAATAATGGTGACACGGTTGAGATAAAATTCAAAGCCTCCACTGTGTTAACATACAAATAAAGCACCTGAGAGGCGTTAGGTAGAATTCTCAATAAGGTAGGGTGTAAAGTGGTATTGAAACTCCTTTATAAACAAGCCTTGTAGCTTAAAAGATCGTGTTGATGAAATTAGGTTTACCAAATCCCTTGCAATGATTCCGAGGTTAAATGGATAGTTCAAAGTAGTCAATCAAGTTCAACTAGAATAACAGAGAACAAAATCTTAGGTGAATCGAAATTGGTAGATCCTAATAAGATAAGAAGTTTAGAGAAAAGCCCGGTTATGGCTGTACACGCAATCGCACACAACCACATAATACGGTGCGATAGACCGACAGTATTTGGGGGTAGCTTAGTTGGGTGGAGGGATAGAATGATAGCCGAATCTTTGTTTATCGAATAAACGCGAAATACAAGTAATGAAAATGATTCTACACCAATCCCAGATATATGGAAGATTCTACTACCCTTGTCACAAAGAAGCAGAGAAAATTAGAACTATGTACACCAAGAGTCAAACATATGGAGTTACATGAAATGAATATAGACAATAAATTGTGTCCTAATCGTTATATAGTAAAATGATACTGTTTCATTGTGTGACATTTCTAATAAACAGGGTAAAATGGTCCTAGACTCTGTCGTTCACGGGATCATGGGCGTCCATATCTCAGGGTCCCACATATGGAAGAAGCAGCTATCTGGTGCTGACAAGTTCTCACAGGTGTTTCAAGCTAGCTTCACTCCATGATGTGAGATATTTTGAAAAATGATTCTTCTACCTACAAAACTTTGACCTTATTAACTTCGGTTGTCTGGTTTATTGTTAAATAATTCCATACTGTCAAACTGTAATAATAATATGTAACGCTTTAAAGCTATTCAGTACTGTTTACTCATTAATCCTGAGTGAAATTAAAGTCAAAACAATCGAATTTTACGCAGAGCATGCTACAGTTTTCGTCTGACTTTGGACTCAACACTGACTCTTCCTAACTTCAATTTAATATCGCTTATTCAACATACAATGTTGGCAAGGATTACTGATCTTCACTTTTACACTGACTGATATCATGTAACACAACTTTAGAAAATGTGGTTAAAAACGAGTTACTGCCAAGCATGAGTGAAATTTACTCAAATCATAGTTGTAAAATATTCAGAATTGTGTTCTTTAGTCGCGTATTCTTTTCGTAGGACATTCGACTGATGACAGAGTTAACGAATAGGAAACCAAGTCAATCAATAAACAATAGACATTTTAAAATCGCTAAGAGAGTTTTACAAGTGGTCAGTAGAACATGAAATCATAATGAAGGAATGTTTTCGGACGAAATACTCGATCGTTTCTAAAGCCAGGAAGAGATTACGTAAGCATATACTATTAAAAAATATTCATGCTGATTCTAATCGACAACATTATGGGTATTTCAATGAGCAACTGAAACTAATATGAATCGACGCACAAAAGCCATAAAGCAAACATATGAAAAGTAATCAGTCGGTAAGGGTGAGATGAATATTGAGTCACTGAAGAAATCCAAGGAAGAATGATGACCACGGTTAAAAAGAATGGAAGTACTTGTTTTTTACATAGAGCTCGAAATTTCCTTCTTGGATTGCCAATACCTCTACAAAACATATGTGACAACTTCTCACTCCTTTTGAGCCATCTGATTTGAATTTGCACAGGATTCTGTAAGAAAACTGTGGAATCCAACATGGTCAGTGTTGACCAAATTTTTCAAGATGAAACTATTTGCTTGACTTGCATTCTCCTCTGGACAACCAAAGACGGTGGTACTCAGAGATGCGTTTGGAAAAGTTGCGCTTTTTGCAGCCTATATACCTACAAAACCAGGTAAACTGATGAACACACATAGATGCGGTCTAACATGTTCGTTTGTCCTTCATACTTCCCTTAGTCAGTTACCGATTGCAGTATGCCATCTGAAGTTCAATGGCATAGAGTGTTCTGTAACCGCTCTAGAAAGACGATTATTCCGTAGTTTCGCTTCAATGTCTCCTTGAATTCGCTAATCGTGAATAAGATCTTCCTAGCTGTTGTTGCTGCTTTGGTTTCACGCATTTTAAAATGAGTCTGAGGCTATAGCCCTTATGAAGTACTTTCGAAGGTATACAAAACATAAATCACCATCGGCGAAATCCAAATCTTCTTCTGGGCTTTTTTCCCCGCTCCAGCGTATGCTCACCTTCTCACAGCTCCTCACAGTTGTCTACTGCATCATCCAGTCCACCACAATCAGGAAGATGATCGGTGATAGTGGACAGCCTTGTCTTACTCCTGTCCCCTATCTTCACTTCAAAGGCATCATGAGCTTCACATTTTGAATCACTTGGCATGTGGCGTCTTCATGTAGTTGCTGAATGAGGTTGATAATGATTCGTGGTATTCCATAGTGTTGGAGCAGTTGCCAAATCACTTGTCGGTCGACGTTGTCGAAGGCCTTTACAAAGTGGGTGAAGTTGAGGTAGGGAGTTGACTGCCATTCTATTCCCTGTTCTATGATGATGGTGAGTAGCGCAGCGTTGCAATTTGGTCCGCACAAGATTCGTTCTTCATGAAGCCAGCCAGCCAGCCTGTTCCGGTCGTAATCCAGTTGAATGCAGCGCATCTTCTAATCTCTGCAGGATGATGCAGCATGATATTTTGTTGTCTTGGGGTTACAGGGGCATGATTCTCTGCCAGTTCTTGCAAAGACTTGTGTCTCCGTTCTTAGGGGGTTTGACAAGTTAGCCCTTCTTCCAATCAGTCGCCAGGTACCTTTCCTTCCTTGCAAACCTTGTGCAGTAGTGTTGTGAGCGTGTCCGTTGTTGTCTCTGCATCTGTTCTCAGTGCTTCTGGAGTAATTCGATGTGGTCCTGCTGGTTTCCTGGATTACAGCAACTTCATGGTGTTTAGGACTTCTGCTTTTGTCAGAGGGTATGTGTTAACTTGTAGTTCTCTGGCTGCAGGATTGTTTTTTTTTAGATTTATCTATTTTCTCACTTGAAAATGTTTACAAAAGAGTCAGTGAATGACCAACCTCTATCTACGTGGTCACAAAAAACTGTTCTACTATTTCTTTCACGTTACTCATCGAGAAATCAACGTGTACAATATGAAATATCGATTGCTTGGACACTTTCCAGAATCTGTAATGCTCATCTTACAATAATCTAGCCTACTCATCTTCGTTCCTTCCTTGGTACTTATTAATTGTTTTCATTTTCAACATTTTTCAGCTAACTGCTTCTTCTTAGCTTATTTCTTCGGAAAAATTGATGTTAGTTAGGCTTAGTGAACCATTTTTTCCACTTTCTTACTATCGTACTACTCATTTCACACTGAACCCTCAAATTCAGAACCCAATGCTAAGGTGGACAGTAGACCTTAACTACCAAATCTCTGAGTATATACTACGTTTACGACATGCACACGTTGTGCTTATTAACTTGTTCTTATCTGGCGTATACAAAATTCACCTTATCAGCGTTTGGAGATTCA